ATCAGTCACTATCCTCCCTTGTATTTATCCATATGTTGTAGTTATCCTAATCATTATAGGATTAGGATAATCATCCCCTTTATTGTTGTAATCCTTATCTCCTAAGGAATATGCTTATTCTCTTGTATGTATATATATGTATGTGCACGTGATGAATAAGATATACAGAGTTACAACCTTCTTCTTTATTCTATAACAGTTTCTTTTATTTAATAATTATTATTTTTTGTGTTGACCAAAAAAAAAATTATTATTTTTTGTAAACTAATATATTAAATGTTCGATGAAGACATTAAACCATTCCTAAAGAAAATTCACAGATTTGAAAACTAGGGTTCTATTTTAGAAGATCTTAATTACGTCTATGATTATATATATAAATATAAATAATTATTTCATTAAGCTGTTTTAAATAAAAATATTATAATTTAAATGAAAATGTGATCGGTTTAACTATGATTGTGCTCGACAGAGATGGCCTGCACTAGCCGAGCAAGTGAAATCGGTTCTCACTGATTATCCGAAATTGAGACTGACCGAAGGCAGAAAGGTATCATTTGAGTGGTTAGTTATTTATTTAGGAAACCTAAATAATTAAAAGGTGAATAATAATAAGATGGGTTTAAATTAATTAGTTGATCAATGATTATTTATTTGGTAAACCAGGTGTTAGAACTCCGACCTTCCATCAAATGGGACAAGGGAAAGGCCCTCGAATTCTTGCTTCACTCATTTGGTGAGATTACATTCTGAAAATTTTCACAAGATTTTATTTCATCATACATACTTCTGCTGGTAATATATAATCTTAGCTCCGCTGATTTGACAATATTTTTTTGTCTAATTTTGAAATAGGAATAACAGAATCTGATGATGTTTTACCGGTTTACATTGGGGATGATCGTACCGACGAAGATGCATTTAAGGTACGGTTGAACCATTATAATACTATACAGATCTAAAGGGTGTAACCTTCTTTTCCCCTTAATAATCATATGTGTAGGTTTTACGTGAAAGGGGACAAGGTTTTGGGATTATCGTGTCAGAAACTCCCAAGGAAACCAACGCGTCCTATTCTCTTCAAGACCCATCTCAGGTAAAAAAAATTAATCAAGATATCAAATTAAATTGTATTGACTTAATATTATAATGTTCAGTATCTGTTAGCTAGTTATTTAAACTACAACGAATAACGATATAGTGTATGATGCAGGTTAGAGAATTTATAAAGCGTCTGGTAAAGTGGAAGAAACAAACACTTGGAGAACAAAGTGATGAATGAGATCAATGGAGTTTCTCCCTGAAATAGCTTTGTGATACTCTAAGAGAAGCAATAATGGACATTTTAGTTTATAGAATCTTCTCTATTAAAAATGAAACTTTTATCTACTACTAGATCCATTCCCCGGGCTACGCCCGGGTTGTTTGGTTGAAATTTTTCTTTTATACTATTATAAAGAAAAGTTCCTCAGTTTTACCTATTTGAGTTCTCACTATAAAAAATTTTAGATTCATAAATAATTTAAATTTTGATTTTGATTTTAAAATCAGTACTGAGTTTAGAGATGTTTGTTTTCTCCTCAATTCATATGAGATTCTCCATAGCTAACTTGAGAGATGGATTGATTCTGTCTGGGTCCACACTCTTAAAATAACAGATAACCTTTTTAACGGTAAAAGAAGAGTCAGTTCACTTGAACTTAATGCCATGTAATGGTATGCGAGCTGACCCAAAATGGATGTTATTGTGGTTAAAATAGTGACAAACTGACATGGAATTCAAGGTTTTGGAACTCAAATGACTTCAGCAGAAGTGTACATCCCTTTAGCCGTATAGAAACTTATGAATTCTGAGTTGGTTAGGTTCATATCACATAGGATATTCAATATGCTATTACATATGATAAAATGTCGTAGAAAAAAAAAAGAATGAAACTTAACACGACAATATGAAAATGATTAATACCTCGGAAAATGAACAAACTTGAAACTTTTCAACGTGTTATATTATTTCATGCTTTTTGTAATTTATGAAAGGCCATTAGAGCCTTTCCACTGATGGAAAAATCCATTTGGAGTTTTTAATGTTAAAGAATAATATGTGAAATAGCAGTTTAGTGTTTTATTTCTTTTTTTTTTGTTTAAGCAGAAAATGCCAACATACTGGTTTTTAAGAGTATCTTGTGAGATTAGGTTTGAAAAAAGTCATATGTTTCTCTTCCATATCTTTTCATTATTTTTAACTTTTTAACAAATTAGATACCCATCAAAAACGTCCGATGGAACTCTTTTAGGAAGCTTTAGATGTTTTAGCATTTGCATGTAACCCTCACATTTCATCATTTGCAGAGTAAACAAATAATAAGATAAATTTACTTGAATTTATATTTGTTATAATTAGTTTTTTATTAAATTTATATTTGTCATTTTCAATTTTATTATATCTCTGATGATCCATATAAATAGAAAATTTTCTTTTATATATATATATATATATATATATATATATATTGGAACCGATTATAAAATATAAATTGTTAAGCAAATTTATTTTTATTTATTAATAGGTTTTTGTCTAAAAGAGTTGGAATAATAAGAACTCACAATTATTTGTATTTATTATTTTATAAGAAAATATGTAATCTTAAGTTTTATGTAGATAAAATAAATGTCAAAANTATATATATATATATATATATATATATATATATTGGAACCGATTATAAAATATAAATTGTTAAGCAAATTTATTTTTATTTATTAATAGGTTTTTGTCTAAAAGAGTTGGAATAATAAGAACTCACAATTATTTGTATTTATTATTTTATAAGAAAATATGTAATCTTAAGTTTTATGTAGATAAAATAAATGTCAAAAGAAATACTTATTTGTTGTTATAATTTGATTTTGGAATCATATATAGAACGATGATAAATTTATTTAACTTTTGTTATAATCCACTTGGTCAAAAAAAAAAACTTTTTGTTATACTCTATGTACTCTTTTATCTTTGTTATTTAGCTTTTATTTAAAAAAAATGGTTTAATTTACAATTCAGTTCAACTTTATTTTGGCTTCAGAACTATTGTTATACACTTAAGCCCTTTATTAAAAAAAAAAAAAAAAAACTATTGTTATACACTTCTACCTTCTTCCTATTTAGAGTTAAAGTATGAGTTCCAAACAATACTTAATACATGATTGTAATAAAGTGATTAATATATAAAAAAGGTAATTTGTAAAATCTTCACAACAAATCGGTTTCCTATGTCCAAAACAATCATTTGACTGTTTTATTTGATGTGTCCTGTTACTTTATTTCCTCTTATATTCCATCAATTTCCTTTTTTTTTTCAATCCTTGGTTCTGTTTTTGATTCTCTGATTTGAATTACTTCGTTTAGTCTCTCACATGCATGTTCCTATATATTCTAATGAGCACCAACGCTACGATACTTTAGAAAATGAAATAACAGATTATGAAATAATATATTTGTGTCTGGAGATATAGTAAGTTGTATTGAGTTTGATTAACATTTACATAAACAACAGAGTAACATAAGGATCTGTTCTTTTTAACTGTTGTATTCAAGATTCTCTACAACGCTTGATGAAGACGATGTTTCCACCCTGGTAAGAACTTCAGGCACACCCAGAGTATCTCTTACAATCTGTACAACAACAAAAAAAAACAACGTTTCATGTTAAGTAAGCTTCTCTGCAAGTTATTTTGTAAACTTCTAAGAGCATAACAGTTCATGAACTCACAAGAATCTCGTTGTCTAGATAAGATATCATGAAGAATCTCTGGTAAGATCCACCTGAAATCCCAACAATGTTAACATGTGAGGGAAAAAAATGTTGAAAATGTGGCTTATTATTAAGGCTTACCAAGTGGAATCCTTAGACCATTAGCAAGAGTGTCCTTAACAGGTTCAGGAAGCTGCTGCAACGTCGTGGTAGCTTGACCCATTAAACCTCTAAGCTGTTCAGGAACGGCTTCTTCAATAACAGTTAGCGACTCTAGCATTCCCTCTAGATACTCTTCCCTCATTCATAAAGGCCCTTCTACTTTCTATTTCGACGTCAAGATGACTTTGTTTTCTACCTGAATAGACAAATAACTTCTTTATTCTTCTGAGTCTGCTTATACATATAGGAGAAGTAATATATATACCATGTTTAGCAGCTTAACGTTGGCGGTGACCCTAGTGCTAGCATATTTAATGACAATGTCCATACTTGATAGACTCACAAATGAAGAAAGAAACCTCCTGCCACAGTCCCAAACAGAGAGAGAAATACCTAAAAATGTTTTTTGTGTATATTCATGAGAAAAGGGACAAAGTGGAAAGAAGGCTAACTCGGATATGACACGAGCAGCAAGTGACCCAAGAGTGTTGGATCCAAACCATTCAAAACTCCATCTGCCTTCAAGGTAAGGAGACCTGGAAAAGACATAACAACCAGTTCATCACACTGTTCTTTTAAAAAAACATAAAATCGCAAGATAAAATATGAGCACATACGTGGTTGGTCTAGGAGTTGGGTTAAGCCGCTCAAGTATCGTTATCCTCTCATTCACATCATTGAACTGTAACAGAGAGTAATCAAAAACAGCTTGAAACAGAGGAAATAAATAAAGATGTTTCCTTTTTTTTCGTATGAATCCAAATTACTAATAAAGGAGGCAACTTTTTGATTACAGATAATGAAAAAGAAGATCTAAAAAGGAGAAAGGTGGAGACTATACGGCGAGAATGAGCGAGAATGAGCGATTCTTTAGTGGAGAGACGCTCCATTTCTCTAGCGTAAACTGAAGGGATCCCTTGAGTTACTTCTTGTACCATAGCTTTGCATATCATTCCCCTCCGAGAATGATACCTCATCTGAGTCTGATCATCAACATAACACAAGGGTTTAACAATCACTCACTTGAAATACTCACAATCTCAATCCAACAATAGATGTGTAAGCATTCTGTTCACATGGTTTAAAAAATAGACGTAGAAAGAGTAGACTGCAAGGATTACCTGAAATTTTCATTTTCAGCTAAGAGGCAAGCATTGGTGTTGGAGTAATCAACACTGATAACGACCAACCCATCCAAATCTAGCTTCTTTGCTGTTTCTTCAGTTTGTTTAAACTACACATGTCAGAAAACATAAAATTACTCACTGAAAGTAATCTACCACTTAAGAAGCTACAAAAAGAAACATAATCCACCTGCTCGGGAGTTTCAATCTTGTCTCTTCCACTGCAGATCATGTCACGACCACCCTATTGATACCAAATGAGAATTAAAACCACATAACATAAAACAATGATTGATTTTCTAGGAATCATAAACTAAAGGACCTGGTTCCTGTAAGGCTGAATGTACTCTGCATTCAACTCAACATACTTGCATTTCATGATACCAGCTGGTCCACCCTTTAACCCGTAAAATGTGCTTCCTTTAGCACACTCCTGCAAGTAATATGAACCAAAAAAAAAACCAAAAAAAACTACAGATCAAGATTCAACAATGCAAAGAAAAACATAACATGACATAAGACATTAAAACCCTTCCCGAACAAACCAGAGATGACATTATGTCCACCAGGTGCCTGACCACCAGACAAAACAACACCAATCTTCAGCTTCTCTCCCAAAGAAGCTCCACTCTGATCTGGAACAACTGACACAGATGGCTGTCCATACAAACCGGGAAACAGCTTGGCAACCTCATCTGCAATCAAACAATTAAAATCATCATTCCAAAACTCTTACGAAAGTCTATAAAACATAGATCTGGACAGAAGATCTATACATATATCAATTCAAATCGTAAGTTTCCATCAGATCAGACGGAGAAAGCCCTAACCTGGATTCCCGGCGGCTGAGCTAGCGGGACCTTCGACGATTTTCAAGGCTCCTTTGAGTACAGAAGGCAAAGGAAGGGCGTTGTTGATCCTGCTGGATTGAACTTCGTTGTAGACTGAAGCATGTCCTTTCGCTGGAGCGTTGTCATGAGTTGCGGGGAAGAGGGAGAGCAAAGGGTAGACGATGAGTGGAGGTAAAATTAGGGTTTGTAATAATGAGAAGAGGGGTCATCCGTGAAGAAGAAATGATTATGCATGCTATCTTGCGTACACTAAAATAAACAGGGCCCAACAAACTGAAGCCCACTCGAAAGCAATGCACTTGCTGAGTTGGACGAAAACACAAATCCTATTGGAGGAATATAAAATCCTACGTGGCTTAAGGAGAGGGAAGTATATGCTCCTTTTAATATAGTTAGATNGAGGGGTCATCCGTGAAGAAGAAATGATTATGCATGCTATCTTGCGTACACTAAAATAAACAGGGCCCAACAAACTGAAGCCCACTCGAAAGCAATGCACTTGCTGAGTTGGACGAAAACACAAATCCTATTGGAGGAATATAAAATCCTACGTGGCTTAAGGAGAGGGAAGTATATGCTCCTTTTAATATAGTTAGATAAGAAAGTCATAGTAGGACCATTCATTATGACATATTTGACTAGTTACATTAATCAATTAAATATATATAAAAGAACTTTTTAATTCATAAATATATTAATTATTATTATTTTTAACAGTAAATCAGTTTTAATTATAGCAAAATCTGTTTATAAAAAACTAACAAAGTCTTACTGAATATTTAAAATAGTTTTCATTAATAATATACATTAATTAATTTTGTAATTAAAATGTTATATTATTATAAATTAGTGTTCATTAAAATTTTATTATAAAAGAACAAAATAAAAATTATAGGCTCATTTATTCCTATTATTTTAGTAAATAATGTTATATTAGTAAGAGTTTTTAATATTATGAATTTATTATAAATTAATGTATAAAATGTACTAAAATAATAGGAATAATATAACTCATCGGCCATGTAGCCAAACTATTTATATTAATTAATTAGCACTAATCAACCTCGCCACAGTTAATAAACACTGCACGTACATGATATATATTCTCTTCATTTTAATTTTTTTTTATATCATACTTGTACTTTTTTTTCTAACGGTTATATATTTTGTTTATACTTGAATAAGAAAATATTCACGACAACGGACACATTCTCCTACAAAAATTTACATATACTTTATTTTCAATGTTATCACATACTTATCAAAAAAAGTTCACACATGTGTTTTTTAAAGATTATAATATAGTTGGGTTCATCTGCTTTGTTAATTTTCTGTAACATTTGAATTTTATTTTCCTTTCCTTTCAGTTATAAACGTTAGCAGTTCTGCAGGTAATATACATTACAAAGATATATTAGTAGTTCGGTTAATGATTTTTCCTGGTTATTTTTGAAATGGTATTTTCCTGGTTACTCAATAACTAATAATTAAATTCGTCTTAGTCTATAGTTTAGTCGTTGTCAAGTGTGAACTGTACCAGAATAAATTAGTATAATTCATATCTACTTTCTATAAATTTCTGATGATGCATTTAAAAATGTTACGGTTTATTATTTATTTATTAATATAATTTATACTACCTTCACAGCAAATGCTTTTTTCTTTTATATTCCTGATAGCAAAGGGAAAGAAAAATTAAAAGAATGTCGACAGGATGAAGCCATTTTCTAGTAAAGCATATTCCATTGCTTATATATCAACCCAATTAGAAAAGTTGAAATTCAACGAACTCTTCAATTTTAATATCCCGCTTGGAATATTATTCTCAGTTGAAAGAATCTTTTATTAGTATACCTTTCGAGTATATCATTCCTTTATAAAATACTATAAACATACTGAATTTTCTTATTATAATATACGTCATCATTAGACCACCACCGTCTGATTAGTCATTTGAATATAGTGATAAAATTCTATATATTTTGGACATTGTTAATGATCAATCGTCCATCGGTGATCATGATTTTTCAATTCATAACGAAATAACACTAAATATTTTTAATTTATATTTTTAAAATGTATGCCCACCGTGTGACTCCAGAACATTGGGTTTTTTTAAGGCTGATAATTATCTTCATTAAACCCCAGAAATGTCCTCATTGATATTGTTAATATGTGTATTTATACTATAGAATACAGAATGTGACCCTTCAGAATTCTAAAAAGTTCAAATCTTACATCAGCGTATGAGGTATATGTTTAGAAGTCTTTGGAAACTACTTAATAAATACGATTAACAGGAAGCTGAAACGATTAAAAGGTTTGTAGTAACTAACTACAAAAAATTATATTCCTTCTATTTCAACATAAATAGTGTTTAAGGTTTTCGCACACTGAACACAAAATTTTTATATAATTTATTTTGATTACATAAAAATATCATTAAATAAACTAATTTAACCCAAAAAATACATTATTTTGTAGTTGGTCAAAATTTTAAAATATATAATGATAACACCATTTATTTTCCAACAAAGTATTTTTTTCTACACTACTTATAATGAAACATAATATTACACTAATTTAGAAAGGTTAATCTCATACCCGAAGTCATGGCCAGATTCGTGCGTAATATAAATGTTTATTGTTTTCTCTTTTTTTTTTAACATAAATGTTTATTGTTTTCTCATTGATGTTAAGGACTAAAGGTCATCTTTGTCACTTTGTGCTCTGTGTTTGAATAAACAGATACATGAGCATGGAATTTTTGGTGTATAAAGCCAAATATGTGACATTCAGGTGCTTTACTGATGGTCTTATAGTGGATTTCATAGATTAACAAAGGTGTCCAAGGATTCAAATTAACTAATCCTCTTGAAGATAAAAGACATCTATTTTGACCCCATTGCGAATGAAGAATACGACCAAGATATTTGAGACAAAGACAATAAGAGATAAACCATTTTGGCTTATTTTTTTTCTGATTTTCAGCCCATTTTTTTTCCAGAGCTATGTAGAGTAAACTAGAGTAACTTAATAAACAATATATTCTTTCCATTTTATTTTTCTTCCTTTTAACTCAGTTTTACTCTATTGTTTACAATCACACTCTTTGTTTTATTATTTATACCAAAAATGGTTTTATTATAAAATACACTACAATTAAAGCCAATAATAATATGAAATATTATTATTATTGAAAACATACAATCAAACACAAATGATGTTTTAAATTTATGAATTTTGACCCGGTTTTGGGGTTTAGCCATATCACAGCCATGTCAGAATTGATATATGTATATTATTTGGTTAATTTTTTAGAACTAAAGTATTCAATATAAGAAAATAATGAATTATGTATAAAAATAATGACGATATATAAAATAATGATCTAAGATTCGGTGGTCCAGTGTTAAAATAGGAATTGGCCGTTAGAATCAGCATCATTTTTCGTTGGGGCTTTTTAGAAACAAATATTTTTATCATCAATTATTACACAAACTAGTAATTCTAGTTATTTATTTTATGAGCTAGCTAGTACGAATTGGTTTGAAAAGATATGAATCCATTTAAGAAGGTTCCATTATTATTCTCATATGATTGTTCTTGGACTTTTCCTGTCCGAATCAAGATAATGTTAAACAATGTTTCAAACAAGCGTGCAGCATCGATCAAGGAACGCTTATAGACTAATCCGATGCAATCCTTTTGAAAACTTCAAAACCCACAAAAATATAAATAGCACTAAAGACGGCAAGCATTTAAATAGCATTAAAAACGAAATTTCCTTTGTTTTTGGCTTATATAAACTCTGTAACAGTAGTACTCTTCTAACTTTAAAGCATAGTAATAGAAATAGAGAGAGAGAGACTAAAATAGAAACTCTCTTTTTCGCTTTTTAATCAAAAGATGGACGTGTTTGATGGACTTCCAGACGCGATCGTTGTCGACATCTTGAACAAAGTCGGTGACGTCAAAACCTTACATCGTTGCAGTATCCTCTCCAAGCGATTCAACTCGCTTGTGCCTCAGTCCGAGTCACTCTTCCTCCGACTCGACCAGGTCGCTACCACCGACACCACCGAGTCACCACCCGATTCTCCCGTCAGCAAGATTCTCCAATCATTAGTCAAGCCCTTCCAAGGCTTCCTCTCTTTATTCTCTAAACCGGCTAAACCAACCCGGTTCACCAATCTTTCACCGAATATCCCTTCCAAGATTCTATCCCGGTTCGACCGGATCAAGAATCTTGAAATCGAGCTTCCCGGAGGCGACGTAAGCCTTGAGAAAGGCGCAGCCGTTAAGTGGAAAGCAGAGTTTGGTAAAACTCTCAAAACATGCGTCGTCGTGGCGTTTCGCTCCGCCTCCACCGTGTCTTCCTCTTCTTCCTCTACCGACGCCGAGTTCGTGACTGGACTAAAAACGCGCGTGGTGTGGACGATAAGCGCCTTGATGGCCGCGTCGGCTCGTCATTTCTTGATGAGCGGAGTCGTTAAGGAGCACGAAGAGATGGAGAGTTTGGTGATGCATGACGTAGGAGGAGCAGGGACGGTGGTGATGCGAGCGGAGGGGCTGAGAGAGTTCCGAAAGGCGCGTGGGGGAGAAGAAGCCGACGAACGCGTGGTGAAAAACCGGAGGAGTGTGGTCCCGAACGTGAGGATGAGTATGAGACACGCGCCGTCGCTTAAGCTCAAGAGCGGTATTTATTTAGAATCCGCAACGCTCGTGATCGTAAGGCCGAGTGAAGAATATTCCGACGTCGGAGATGGTGAGTTGGCGACGGAGGCTTTCGCCGGGAATTGTATGTATGGTGAAGCGGTCGTGGAGTTGTTAAAACGTAAGAGGAATACTTTAGAAATAAATTCATTTTAAGCTTTTGTTGGGCCTTTTATTGGGCTTTTGGGGCTTTGTTGTAGGAAATGTCATTTTTTCTTGCACGTGTGTTGTGTGCCGTGTGCGCATTTATACATATTTTAAGGTATAAAAGCTGGCTTCAACACTTGACTTGGCTATCATTTTGGTCAATATCCGAAAGCATATACGGATTTTGATCCTCTCGTGACCAAAAAGACACAATAATATGGTATGAACTATGCCAAAAACGTCAGAAATTTTCTAAGAAATTCCTTCAGTGACGATATCAAAAAGATTTAAAATAGCATTTAATTCTTGTAGAAGTTTCTCGTCTAACCTTATACAGCAATTTAATGTTGTTTTTTTCTTATCTTAATTAAGTTAAATCAGACATTTGACCCGTGGTGTTAATACTTTTTGAGTTTTGTTATATGATGTAGTGATGAATCTAGACCAGTGTTATAAACTTGTATTTTTTATTTTAATTTAATGCAATATTAATTTGCGAATCTGATTTAGTGGCAAAACCTTAAACATCTAAATAGCTTAAATCTAATGATTGAAACGTGAATTAAGCAGTGATGCAGCTCACCATACATGTTTCAGAACATAAATGGCTGAATGCAAAACAAATGCATATTCACTTTTTGAATCCAAAACTGTTCCAGATTGTAAACATACCTTGATACCTATTGACATACCTAGTTTCCATAGAGTTCGGCAATGAATGAAATAGACATTGTTTTACTAATCTAAGACAAATATTATTCCAACGTTATAAGAATTTATTGTTTGTCACTTCTTTATGCCTATAAATAAAACTAATCTAAGACCAATATTGTTGAATCTCATTTCCACTAGTCTCCAAAAAAAATATTGTAGAGTCTGAAAAGAAATATCAACAGTTATGTTAACATCTAAGCAATAATTTATGTTTCATATATAACCGAATACTACGGAAAGCTCATCACAAGCCCAACGCCAAATAGTATCTATCCGCCCTTATCATAAAGTAAATCATGTAAAAGTTTATGTAAACTGCAACGAACCCGTTAAGCGGAGTAAGGCCAACCTGAGTCGCCGGCGCCAGAGCATAAGTGACATGGTTTGAATGGGTGGCAACATAGTTCTGCGTAAGGATGTATATAGCTCCTGTTATTGTAATTGTAGCTCCATGTGTAGCGCTGGTGTATCCCACGATTGCACAGTTATGGGTCTGGGGGATTCGGCTGCAGCAACCACTGTCACCTTCAGAATATCCACCCTCAGATCTGTCGGATCTCTTACACCGTTTCCCGTAGGCACATGAGTGGAGCCGTTGGGAGGCAACGGCAATTCTGTCTGAGCTTCATCGGAAGTCTCATTTGGAATATCAATCTTCACATCTCCTCCTCCGTTCCCGTAGGCACATGAGTGGAGCCGTTGGTCGGCAACGGCAACTCTGTCGGAGCTTCATCTTCGGCAGAACAAATGCATATTCGCATGGTCGGCAATATGGTGCAGCTCATCATACATGTTTCACAACATAAATGGATGAATGCATAACAAATGCATATTCTCTTTTTGAATCAAGAATTTTTCCAGGTTGTAAACCTACCCTTATACCTATTGACACACCTGGTTTTTATGGAGTTCGACAATGAATGGAATAAACATTGTTTTACTAATCTAAGACCAATATTATTCCCAATGATATCAGAATCTATTGTTTGTCACTTCTTTATGCCTATAAATAAAACTAATATAAGACCAATATTATTCAATCTCATTTCCACTAGTCTTCAAAAAAATATTGTAGGGTCTGAAAAGAAATATCAACAATTATATTAACATCTAAGCAATAATTTATGTTTCATATATAATCAACTGAATATCATATTAATAGAATATCTACAGAACTGAGGGTGGATATTCTGAAGGTGACAGTGGTTCCTGCAGCCGAATCCCCCCGGACCCATACCTGTGCAATCGTGGGATACACCAGCGCTACACATGGAGCTACAATTACAATAACAGGAGCTATATACATCCTTTCGCAGAACTATGTTGCCACCCATTCAAACCATGTCACTTATGCTCTGGCGCCGGCGACTCAGGTTGGCCTTACTCCGCTTAACGGGTTCGTCGCAGTTTACATAACCTTTTACATGATTTACTTTATGAAAAGAGCGGAGAGATACTATATGGCGTTGGGCTTGTGATGAGCTTTTCGTAGTATTCGGTTATATATGAAACATAAATTATTGCTTAGATGTTAACATAAATGTTGATATTTCTTTTTAGACCCTACAATATTTTTTTTGAAGACTAGTGGAAATGAGATTGAAGAATATTGGTCTTAGATTAGTTTTATTTATAGGCATAAAGAAGTGACAAACAATAAATTCTTATAACATTGGAATAATATTGGTCTTAGATTAGTAAAACAATGTCTATTTCATTCATTGCCAAACTCTATAGAAACCAGGTATATCAATAGGTATCAAGGTATGTTTACAATCTGGAACAGTTCTTGATTCAAAAAGTGAATATGCATTTGTTCTGCATTCAGCCATTTATGTTGTGAAACATGTACGGTGAGCTGCACCACAGCTTGATTCACGCTTCATTCATTAGATTTAAGCTATTTAGATGTTTAAGGTTTTGCCACTAAATCAGGTTCGTAAATTAATATTGCATTAAAAATACAATAATAAAAAATACAAGTTTATAACATTGGTCTAGATTCATCACTACACCATATAACAAGCTCAAAAAGTATAAAGTTAGAAGAGAAGCTTCTACAAGAATCAAAAAGAAATATCTAGCTGAATAGTATAGCCATTTAAGGTAAAACTCCACCAAGCTCATCTATTCAATACTCCTTTTAAAGGTATAAGATGTTCTTTGATGCCATCTATGGTGATTTTTTTGTTGTTTCAGCTTGTTCATTTCATTAAGGATAATACAATGTTGATGTGTTTAACCACTTTTTTTCATTTGTCACAGAATGTGGAGTTGGAGGAGAATATCGAACCTAAAGATGTGACAGATGCATCCCAAGATGTACATGTCATAAGCTTTGACTATGACAATTGCCCATGAAACTCGCTATGCCAAAAACGCCGTACCAAAGAATGCAAAACTAGAAAGAGAAGTTATTTGCGGTAAAAAGAATCTTGTGGTGTGCCATATACAGGATTGCTGCGACGTTGAGGATTATGAGGGCTCTCTGCAATCAAAGATGTAGCACATTCATCAACCCCTAATGATATATATACAGATATGTAATCCGCATTCTAAACTTGATTAGGATTTTTCTTTTTGTTTTCCTTTTTCGATCACAAAAGTGCTTCTTTATCAAATCCAAAGTACAAAATTAAGTGAAATTGAGTTACGAAAATAAATGATATTTTCATTAAACTACTAAAAATCAATTTCGTCTAGTTAATATTCTATAATTCCTGTAAAAAAAACAGATAATCCGGAAAAAACAAATATTACTTTTTGATTATAATCTAATATATATATATATGTATGTATTATACACTATCATCTAATAACATTGATCTTTGTTTAAATATATTGTTTCATAAATTATATGTAAAGTAGCACAGAAACAAGTCTATTAATCTGACGCTTCATCGTTAGACTATATTCAATCAAAATTTTGAGATGATTTGTATTAAAAGGATAAATTTGTTACTTATCAAAAAAAATTTGAAAGTTTTATTTAAACTTCATTCTATTGATACTTTTTATTTTATATAATATTTTCAATCCAATGTTTCTGTAAAATTATTATATTTATTTTCGAGTGTTTAATAGAGTTTCTTAAATAAAAATATGAATCTCATGATTCTCTTATCAAAAAAAATTTGAAAGTTTTATTTAAACTTCATTCTATTGATACTTTTTATTTTATATAATATTTTCAATCCAATGTTTCTGTAAAATTATTATATTTATTTTCGAGTGTTTAATAGAGTTTCTTAAATAAAAATATGAATCTCATGATTCTCTATGAGATTTCAAAGTAGTTTAAAAAAACTTAATGTTAAATTACTTAGTTCATCTAAAATCAATGTCATTTCAAATTTGAAATTGAATGCATCCAATAAATGGACAATCAATCATCTTGCACTCTACAGCTCCACAATATCATAAGTCAAGCTTCCAAACTACAAGAATTTACAACACAAAAAGGTTAGTACTTCTTGGTGCCGTTTTTTAATCAACAAAAACAGCGAGGATAAACTCATCACATTTGTTCAAAAAAAAAAAAAACTCATCACATTTGTATAGATTTTTGTGTACTTAGTGGTGTATAAACTCATTCATTTGTGGATTTATTTTCCTCAAAAAGAATAAATTGTGCATAGGTTTTCGAGGTTCATTTATTAATTGCGTACTGACATATTCTTCTTTCAAGTGAAAATGTTTATAAAGTCAAAGTAAAAAGTTTGATTTGAGGCGTATATAATTCCAATAACTATTTTTCTGTAATCTTATCTTACTCTCAACATAATGAGAAAATCCAGCATAGATAATCGCATTGTATGTTAATCATTTCGAAAAAAAAAAAAAAGAGAAGCAGAGAGATAGATATGATGAAGAAAAGTGAATGTGGAGCAGGAGCTACATTGAATCACTATCAGAGCTACACTCATCTTCCCCGGAGACTCATCGTCTCAGTTTGCTTCCCCTCCGTTCGATAGGAACGTGATGATGAAGCATTAAAACAGCATGTTGCTGCTGTTGCTGATGAGTATAACGAGTTGGGACTTTGTGAAAGAATCCAACGTTTCAACATCAGAGATGAGGATAAAGAAGACAAGACTTGTCACCAAAAATATGGACCCTCCTCTGCTTTTTCTGTTGACAAATCTTCACTGTTACCTAATTTTCAGAGCTATGGAGAGACTTCTTGTAATAATCTCGGTTACAAAAGACAGTAAATACGGATAGTTCATGGTTCCTTCACCAAATAAGAGTATGTTTGAGCTCAACAATCACTCTGTTATATCATACTCTTGTCCAAAAGACAGGTGTTAGAAGATTGCTTGATCATCACGGAAGTAGCAGTAAGACATCTGGTATCGAGGGATACGTCTATTTGATGGCTAAGGATCAGCATGGATGCAGATCCTTGCAGAGGATCCATGATCATTTTCAGCGAGATGATCCCTCATGCTGCTGAGCTTATGATAAATCCTTTTGGAAATTACTTGATGCAGAAGATATTAGATGTTTGCAATGAAGAACAGAAAACAATGATCATACTCGTTGTTACTCATTCTAGATAACTTTCTTTCTTGATCAAAGGCAGGAACTACGCAGTCCAACTCATTATAGAGCTGAGGGATCTCTCTGCGATAGCCATGGTGCTAGCGCAGTTATAATTAAGGGAATTATGTAGAGCTCTCCATGCAGAAATTTAGTAGCCATATGGTAGAACGTTGCTAGCTTAAGAAACTATCCAGAGAGCCTGAACTCATCTCTATACCTTATTTTGATGTTCTGATTCAAGACCCTTATGCTAACTTTGTCATCCAAGCTGCTCTTTCTGTCACCAAGGTATAGAAACTAGTATTCAAGTTTTGAGACTTCTTTTTAGCCCTAACTTGAGTGATTAACGATTCTTTGGAATGAAAAAGGGTTCACTTCATGCCGCCCTGGTTGAAGTGATAGGGCCTCATTGGGTTCTACTTCTACCTAACAATCCTTATTGCAAAAGGATTTTCTTAAGAAATATCTTGAGGAACTGAAGATCAAAACACTGTGGTTGGTGGTCCTGGTTTTTGCTTCTTCTATGCATAAACTTAGACCTGCTTACTTGATCTCTCTACAGCAATGTCTACTTCTTGAAAATGCTCTATTGTTGTTGCTGTTGCTGCTGTTACTGTCGCATCTGACTTGTTCTTGGAACGAAATTTTATGTTGTGGTGGGTCATGTTTTTGTAGATGGCTTTATATTTTAGGAATTTCAATGTATTTGTCACTTTATTCTATATTGTTTTCTTGGATCAAATTCTAATTTGCTTATAATTTAAAAAACCAACAATCTAAAACATATGAATTGCGGAATATGTACGGTACAATCTGAGGTTCATGTTGGGTCACTAGAAGCATACATCCACACATACTGAAATTAGTTTTTTGCTGGAGCAAAGAATTTGGATATATAAAAAACATGTGACATTCCAAAGGAAACTATATTAATGATTCATAAGATACAAGGGACAAGCCTCACTTAGAATATCTCTAACCAATGATAAAAAAAAAAATATCTAACTCATGTTATTTTGCTGGAGCAAAGAATTTGGATATATGAAAAACACTCACATTCCAAAGGAAACTATATTAATGATTCATAAGATATAATTAAGGGACAAGCCTCACTTAGAATATCTCTTACCAATGATAAAAAAAAAATATCCAACTCATGTTATTTTGTCTCTATAATAGTTTAGAAGTAATTACATTCCAACACATTGCTATTTATTTATCAAAAATAGAGATTATTATTTTTGCTTATATATTTAGGGAAAGAATACATGGGAAATGGTTTGCAGGGACTTCTACTACTTCTACCTAAGAGGCATTTGTAGGCTTGGTTTTGGCCCAACTCCTACCATAAAGAAAGGTTGGACGAATCACAAATGGTTAGTGAAGCATAGATCATACCATAAAGCCTATATCATTGATGACCAATTGACAATTATCAAAAGTGAATACAGATTGAAAACGTTTAATTTATTTTTTAACATACAAATAAATTCCACGGTAAAATCTTGATAACTTGCATCTTCTCTGTACGAAATCCAAATTATGCATTGCAGCAGTTATCTTCTAAATGACTAAATTACAGGCAGACGCAGTCTATAGCAAAACATGCAGACGCAAGTTTGTCTCAAGTGTTAACCACATATCTCTACATACTTGTTTTACAAAACTATCGTTGAAATAAAAGCATGTGTATTAGTTGTTACTATGCATTTATACTTGTTCACTAATAGTGAATGAGAACGGTAGACAAGTCCTGAATCTTTAATTCTTCCACAGGAAATAATAACTACTCCACCATTATGGTTCTCCATTTAACCAAGTAATTCAAGAAATTTACTAGTAGTATTAACTATTTTTACCCGGGAACATATTCTTTTGTTTACTTGGAGCTTTCATTGCATACAACTCTTTCTACATTTGTTGAGATTTCCATTTATTTTTTTATTTTTTTTAAACTAGATTTCCATTTATTTCATACAATATTGCCCTCTTTCTTGTATACTTCAGTTTACGAAGTTAATTATAAGTTTCTGGTGCTAGCTATAAAGTGACGAGACATGAATCTTAATTGTAACTGCATGCATGAAGTAGACGCTGTTGTGAGATTTTAAACCATTTTCTATTATACATCATTCCCATTTATCATCTTTGCAATTTGTTACTACCTGAGAAAACTATGGGGGATGTTACCACTTAGATTTTTATAGAGTTTGTTGATTTTTAAATATTTTGCGATTTATCAAATTTGGAAAAAATTGTAAAAAAAATTGTATATTAAAAATCTATGAAATGAAAATATTATAATAATTTAAAAAATTTAAAGAATACATGTAACATTCTCAAATTTGTTTTTATATTCTCAACTTGTTTTGTGAGTTAAAAGGTCAATAATTGAATTATCAATAACACTTACTTTAATAGATTTATAAAATCATTAAAATTTAAATTTTTAACAAAAGATATTGTTTAGAATTATAAAATCATCAAACTAATAACATTATATTTTAATAAGAATGTAAGAATCAATCAACCAATAATACTAGACTCAAAAATTCTAATATCATGATAAATTTAGTTCCCACTAACATCTCATATATTCCTTCATTTTCTCTGATTAGATATAAATGAAATGAAGCTCCCATTACTTAGACCATCTCCAACAATAGAACCTTCATTTGAGATCTAAATCAGTTTTTTAATTAAAATTAATCAAAAAACAAAATTTAGATACTTGTAGAGATTTTACTCTTCCAATGGTAGAACCAAACAAGGGTTCTAAATTTCAAAAATTTGAAAATTTGCCATAAAAAAAATACTTGCATCACACTCCATTATATAAACTTATAATTATTGAATTACAAAGAAACAAGCACTGATTATACAATGATGACAAAACCAAAACAAATGGCAAAGAACATCAACTCAGTGAGCATCGCCGTTCTCCAAAGCCTATCTCTAAACAACTAACACAATCTCCAAACTTAAAAAAACAATCAGTAAAAGATTCACCACAAGAAAAACTCACACGGAGTACTTCTCTTTGTGATTTTAGTAGCAAACATCAGTATATCTAACGCCAACCATGTTTTGTATCGGTTCACATTGGTTCCGTTCAACTCACACTGAATAACATATCGCATAGGCATTACAACTGACATTATTAGCAGTCCAACCAACCAGAGGGAATAAACTAATACTGCTTAAACAATACATGACTTCTTTCACAAATATATATATTCAAACAAAACCAAAAAGAGTCATCATAGAAACACGAAAAGGAAGAGAGAGAGATTATACACACTTACCTTGGCCATATTGAAGGTGGGGAATCGAGCAAACGCCTTGGAAAGAACATCATCATTTACTTCATTCCCAAGATCACCACAAAACAAGCGATAGTCATCTGGCAAATGTGAAACAGAAAATTTGTAAGAAATCAAATTCTAACAAAAGAGCAAAGAACATCCAAAGCCTATCGCTGAACAACTCTAACACAATCTCCAAACTTAAAAAAACAATCAGAAAAACTCAAAGAAAAATAAGAAGAAAAAGAGTATTGCTTACTTTCAGGCCACTCAGCAAGAGTAGGATCCTCCCAAGACTGTCCAGCAGCTTTACGAGGAATAGCTCTCTTCTTAGTCACAGCTTTGTGTTCTGTTTCGCTACTAGCCAAAGCAGCTTTCACATTCTCAAGCGCTTCTGGTGTGATGGTTTGTGCATCTCTCTGAAACAACTGATGCGCCTGCCAAATCAAAACATTACACACAACCAAATCAAAACAACATTAAATCATAAATACCACAGAAAAGAAAAAAAATTAAAAAAAAAAAACAAAACCCAAAGATCAAAGATCAAAGCTATAACTGTAGAACACGTGAGATTCGTTCATAAAGATTCAAGCTTTTGTAACAATCAACACAATTAAAGTCAAAGCAGAGAAATTTTGAAAAACCCTAATTCGAATCTGAAATTCCCAAAAACGCTAACAATCCTTCGAATTTTTGAAATTCCTACCAACCTGGTACCGAGGGTAAGAGTATACGGCGGGAACGGGACCAATTGGCTGAGGATAGATGGTAGCTCCGGGAATGGTAGCAACCGGAGGAGCTGGAGAAGGAGACGGAGCTACAAAAGGCAGTGGAGGCTGGTAAGGCGCGGAATAGTACGAATTAGAAGTGTATGTGTACTGAGAGGCGGAAGATGATGATGAAGAGGAAGCTGAAGACTGTGAGAACGACATCGGAGAGAGGCAATTTTTCCACGAAAGAGAGAACACATAACTCTTTTTTTTTCTCCTTTTGTTTAAACCTTGTAACCAATGAGAGAAGACCACGTTCTATTTAGATATGCATCCAGAAACATCTACATTTAGATGCAACTCTATCTAATTTTCTTATTTTTGATTTATTAAAATCCAATTAATTAGATGGAACCTCACTTAGAAGTGGGTTAGATATGCCTTTGGAGATGGTCTTAGAGGTTAAATATATATGGCATGGTGTGGCCCATTCACTTGATTTCATGCTTACTTTATAAAGCACACGAATTAATTATGGTACGTTTCAAACAATAGAATAGTGGTGAATTGCCACAAGGTCGTGTCTAAGTAGTAAGAACTCAGCAACAAAAACGGTTTTTAATTATTTTGTAAATTCTTTAATAATCAGATAAGAATCTTGGTATAAAATAGTTATCTTTTCTTAGTTTCTGTGATATGTCGGCATCGTAGTTAACTTTTAACGCATTTTCATTCTAGTTAATGCTTTAAACTTAATTATTTACAAACATTTTCTTAGTTACAGCTGGGGTTATAAAAATCTAATGAGTATTGAAAAGTTTCTCAGTTCTTTTTTTTTTTTTAGATCCTCGTAGAATACTAAAAGTCCATATTTTATGTCAACTAATTTAATTCGATAATATCAACGAACACACATTACACACGCTCACTCACACACACACGACACACACATATATATTATATTATATACATTTATATGGTTCTATATATAATATATCCATGCATAAATGTATCCGTTGAAATTTAATAGAGGGGAAAAATAGAAAGGCAATTTATGAGGAAGCTGACCAAAAGAGTCCTAAAATAAACGAGGAAGCGAAGGTCATGGCATGGTAGGCCGTTGAGGAGGTTTCAAACTATTTGAAATCGTTTGGAATTGGCTATAATAGATGTGTGTATTTTTTGGTGTTATATATATTGAAAAGTGGGAGTAAGAGTTATTGAGGTATTAAAGTTGCATCGGCATTCATGAAGTCATGAACCTTCCCCCTTCAACGGTATTTACTTTCTCTCCTATTTAATATTTATTGACCTCTCGGATCATAGAACGGGCCATACGCACATAGACATACATGTAGACAGCTTCATGACCAGCAAGAATACACGCAACTTGTATTGTATATGCATGCATGCATCATCATACGTCCAGATAACGGTTGATGATATCATCATGATGACAATATTGGTGGAAGAAAAAACAGAAGTGGAATTTAATTGAACTACAAATCTACACATTTCAATGAGGCTCCTTGGAGCAATACCCTCAGTTATTGAACACACCCAACTTTGGACTCACACATCATCCTCTATAAATTTCATTTCTGCAGTTTAGTTTATCCATTTTTTTAAATAACAAACCTTGTATTAGTCCAAAACAACACACTTAAAGGACTTCATGCCTTTCAGAAATCTTGACTGCACCAAAATCAAGTATAATAAAGATTTAAGTTAAATAAATATATTAGCACTAATCTGAGTCATTTGTCTAAAAAAAATATTTATGGAGTAGCAAATATCAAGATATAAATTATGTGTACTATGCAAAAAGTCCCAATTTGAATCCTAATTTATTTGATCATCTAAGATATTTATTTTGGTATATCTAACTCATTTACTATTGTCAACTATTCTACATGAACCGGTGGAGATAATAACTCCCATGGATAGTTCATCTTATTTATATATATACGACTTTCATGAACAGTTCCTCTATCTGATAATTCGTTTTAAAACCAAAGCAAAGTAAGAGTTTCTTAAGCATAAGATAGCCGAAGGTCCAATGGATTCTCTACATGATGGAACCCTCTGTTCCAGAAAAAGAGGTCAGATGAACGTCAATGGAGAATCGTTTCATGGTTTCTTCAAACGGATCAAACAAGGAGATCAGACACAAGCCCAACTTGAGAAGAACACTACTCTGTTCTATCAAAGAACAAAGTCAGAGAACGCCAGGTTGATAAAGCCTGATGTTCAGCTTCACCTAGATACAAAGGTATATACATAAATTTTATGTGCATAAAAAGAATGAACAAAAACATGTTTCAATTCTCTTCTTGCAGGCTCATACAGAGACATCTAAAGATCGTAGGACATACGTGGACCTTGAGCTAAATCTTTCTTTATCAGCAAGTTCCACAGTGGAAAAAATCACGAAGAAAGACGAATGTCCAAAAGGAAAAACTTTGATCATGACACCAAGTAATAAAGGAAAAACAGGGGTTATAGGGCTAAGCCGGTCCCCTTCTTGGCTAGCGTTTGAAGGTAATGATGATAATGATGATGAGAAGAAGCAAGAGATGGTAACAACGGTGTGCATGAAGTGTCACATGCTGGTAATGCTCTGCAAATCAACTATGGTGTGTCCCAACTGCAAGTTCATACACCCTGATGATCACAGCTCCACAAAAGTGTTTAAGCCTTTGAGTTTGTTTAAGCTTTTATGCTAGGCTTTTGCCGTTTGAGGGTATGTATGTTGATTCTAGTTAATGGGTCTAGTAAGAATTAATGTGAAACTAGATATGTATATACAAGTGCTGATAAGTATTATCCTGTGCTTATATATGAATTTGCTATCAACTTATATGTTACCACCAAGAGTAACACCAATGGATACCACAAGATACACATAGGAAAAATAGCCAATAGCTAGCAAATTATAAAACCAATTTTATTCTTCTTGGTAAAAAGGTAAAAACTGAATGATTTCTTGAATTTGGGGGAAAAAGTTAAATCATTTTCCTAGGCATTTGTGTAACTATTGTCAATAGATCTTCACAATATCATAAACAGAATCCGGATTAGTTCTCTTACCTAAGTAAACAAGTTTTTTTCTTCCTTTTGAAACAATCAACATTGTTACTATATGTTCCAGAAATACGAAAAGTTACTAGTGTGTAAAATAGGGAACTAATTTTGTGTGGTTAGACCTCAATCAAATGCATAGGGATCACAAACGAGTTGAGGGAGCCTTCTGAAAACAAAGTCCCCAGTAATTGCATCTCCATACCGTACTTAAAAGGAATAGAAACATGAAGTCCACTTCAGAACACATGAATGAATGTAGTTGTCAAATTGTAGAAACCCAGCATGACAACAGAGGGGACTTGTCATGTAAGATCAATTTTGTAAGAACTAGGGTCTCTGTCTTTAGAAATTTTAGGTGCTGGTTGGTTCTTTTCCAGCTAAGCAGGCCAACAAGTTGCCAAGATAACCGTTTGATTCGTTTTAACTTCATACTCATAATGCCAAGTTGAATCAAACCATAGGTTTATACTTACACTTTGTCAAGAGTGAACCACTGCGATTGATTTTTTTATCAGATAGATCAAATCTAACTAAACCGGTTTAACAGAGATTCACACTACGCAAAACATCAAATCGGTTTACTCAAATTCAATAACACACATCATCAAATCTCACAAAAAAAACCCTAACAAAACATTATAACCAAAACATGATTTTAAATCTTTAACCAAATTAAACCTCGTCTTCGTGGAGAAGCATATTAGGGATCCCCTTGTTAACCGGAAACTTCCTTCCCGTCTCGGGGCAGACAAGCGCGCCTTCCTCCAAGTGAATCTCCAGCAACGCGTGATGAAGCTTCTTCAAGAAAGTCTCGTCTGCAGACTCAATCACCGCCACGTCGGGAGAATCTTCCGGTAACTCTCCGTACCCCATGGCGCGAGCAGCTTCCACCAGAGCCTTCCACTCGATCTTCGCGAACATGTGTTTGAGAAAATCGGGGTTGAAATCGACTTCCTTCTCGATGACTTTCTCAGCTTCGATCTTGAGGGGAAAGCCGTTCGTGACTCCTTTGATGTTGCAGGAGAGCATGTTGTGCGTTATCAGCCTCATCTCTCGATGTCGTCTCTGGTTAACCTAGAAAAAAAAGCGAAGAGGAGGTAGTGAGGAAGAAGGAGGAGATGAATCTTATGCGGCCGAGGGTTTTGTTGAAATGTCGAAATTGCCCCTTATGACTCGTTTTAGCTTTAATTGAAGGCTTTGTTTGTATTGCTCGGCCCAAAATGCCCGGCCCATGAAAATGTTGTTTAGGATTTTGTCAATTATAATCTCACTAAAAGTTCATTTGTATTTACTTTCAAGAATTTTCAAACTTTTGAGAAACTTTCAATTATAAGAGGAAAAACTCTAGTTGGAAAATAATATAATCATAAGTTTATAGCACATAAACAGTTTACTTTTTAATAATACTCTCTCTGTTTCATAATAAGTGTCATTGCAAAAAAAAAAAATTGCGTTATAAACTAAGTATTGTTTTCGAGTTGCAATGAAAAATTTATTAACTCTACTTTGTAGTTTATTTTTCCATTGGTTGAAATATAGTTAGCCGTATGAGTAATTATATTTTTATATATAAAATATACAAAATTAATTATTTTTTAATCCGTGTGCATAAACTTAAAATGATAATTATTTAGAAATAGAGGGAGTATTTAAAATGAAAAAGATGAATCCTCTGATTCTAACATGTAGTTTAAAGATTTGTTTTCTTTGGTGTCGTATCATCATCTAAACTTAAATTTGCTATACGATACAAAGAAAAAAGACGAATGAAACCAGCCTAAGGCTTAAGTTTTATTTAAAATGGGTTGGGCTCGGCTCATAATAGGTCCGTTGTTGGAAATGAGTACATCACTAGTGACCTATATAACCTAGTTTAGAGGAACGTATCAGGGATTTACTAGACCAATAGATTCATTGTTTCCGGCAACAAATCTCTCGTTTTGGTAATCGAACATACAAAGCTTACTACTATTATTAATAATGTATGAATCACGTAACTACCTAAGCTAGTAGTGATGATGTGTCTAATTAAAAAACCTAATTTAAAGGGTCAAAAGTCATGAAATGTGTGCGAATCACATTAAATGAACCAACAAAAAGATGGCTAGTAAGCGCGTACAAGCCTTTGACTCTTTCAAGCCTTTTAATGTCGCACTTGTTGAGTTTCTAATAATGAAATAGAAGACCTCATATTTCATATTTTCTCATTTTAATACCGCAAACTTCTCTAAGAAAGCATTTCGGTCTATATAGGCAAAAAGTAATTTAAAGGCAATCGTTTAAGCCATCAAATCTAGATCAAATTTGATTTTCTTTTACTTTTGGTACTTGTTATCCAGTCGTAGCCTAGGAATACGTTTTTTTTTAACATTACAAATATCTGAATAGTGAAAACGCATGTAACATGATTATTTCTAGATTGGCAAGGAGATAGACATAATAAAATGAGGAATTTAACATGCCGAGTAGCCAATGAGACCAATTTAAAATGGCAGCCTCTCAATTTTCTTTGACCAGACCACTCTTTGTTCTTTATTTTTTCTTTACAGAAAATCATTACCAAAGCAAAAAGACAAATCAAATCAAAGGTGTGTGTGTTTATTATCATAATCAAAAAGCGATCAATAGTAAATAATTGACGCCAAGAAAGAAGGAAGTCTTTTGGGTCAAAATATAAGATTTCACAACATGGGGGCGTAAATCAAATATTTAATACTTACAAAGCACGCAAATGCAATGTAAAAGAAAATACAGATAGCTCCAACTTTTTTTTGTTTCTTCACTGAATATATAAAGAAAAATAAGACATAAACGAAAGAGAAGGGAAGACTTTTGTCGGAAGAGAGAAGACTTTCGTGGATTATATCGTTTGCTACCTCCGATTGAAACACACACAAATTAGGGTTTCATTTTCAGGTTAGAAAAATCCCTTCTTTCGTTCCATCTCAATTATTATTTCCCCCCCTTTTATTTGATTCTGATTCGTGAATTTTTGCAGATTGTTTGTGTTCATTAGAATATCAAAATCAAAGAAAAAATAATAATAATGGGAAAGTTTTGTTGCTTCACTTCCGATTCCGAGGTAAAAAAAAAAAAGCTTCTTCCTTTCAGACATGTGTAGATCAAAAGATAGCTCCTTTTGTCTGTTTCTTCTTATTTGATTTGGTGTGTGGGGTTTAGGTTATGGGAGGACAATCATCCTCAAGATCAGGTAAAGGAAGAAGTGATGAAGGGTTGATCAAGTTTGGTTTTAGTCTAGTGAAAGGCAAAGCTAACCATCCTATGGAGGATTATCATGTTGCTAACTTCATCAACATCCAAGACCATGAACTTGGGCTCTTTGCAATTTATGATGGTCATATGGGTGATACTGTCCCTGCTTACTTGCAGAAACACCTCTTCTCCAACATCTTAAAGGAGGTAAAAACTAAAAAGAGTCTTTTTTTTCTCATAGAGATTGTGTTTAATGGTTCTAATCATTATATGTTATTTAGGGAGAGTTTTGGGTGGATCCTAGAAGGTCTATATTAAAAGCTTATGAGAAGACAGACCAGGCTATTCTCTCAAATAGTTCTGACTTGGGTCGTGGTGGGTCTACAGCTGTTACTGCTATATTGATTAATGGGAGAAAGTTGTGGATAGCTAATGTTGGTGATTCACGAGCTGTTCTTTCTCAAAGAGGTGCGATAACGCAGATGAGCACAGATCATGAGCCTCGTGCTGAAAGGTCGAGTATTGAGGATAGAGGTGGATTTGTATCCAATCTACCAGGTAAAAATAGATAATTTAATCTGCTTTAACCATTTCTTGATCATTTTCTAATGAGTTTTGTTTTAAATAGGTGATGTTCCTCGGGTGAATGGTCAGTTAGCAGTGTCACGTGCCTTTGGAGACAAGGGACTTAAGACACATTTGAGTTCAGAGCCTGACATTACAGTTTCTAATGTTGATAGCCAGACAGATATTCTTGTCCTGGCCAGTGATGGCATTTGGAAGGTACTTACAACATATAGAACCGATTTTCTTTCGAGCTGTGAAACTAGTAACTGATAATGGAAATGATGTGAAACAGGTGATGACAAATGAAGAGGCAATGGAGATAGCTAAAAGGGTGAAAGATCCACAGAAGGCAGCCAAGGAGCTAACAGCTGAAGCATTGAGAAGAGAGAGTAAAGATGACATATCTTGTGTCGTGGTCCGGTTCAGATGACAAACTGTAGATGGTAAAAAGGGAGATGGTTCGTTATTAAATATAATAAAACCCTGCAAGTTTCAATCAAGATTCATTAGGACACAATGCTTGTTTCACTGGATTTAGACTCTGGTGATTGTGGTTCGGTTTGAACCGGTCTAAAGTTTCGACTTCTGACAGCTTCTTGTGGCTATCTATAGATTATGTGCGTTCGTTGTGTAAATTGTGTGTTTTAAGAAGACAGAACAAAGGAAGAGTTGGTGGGTGGTTCTTGGTGACTGGTGGGGATTGTCTTATTATTATTGGTTGATTTGTTATATAAATCTTCGGGATATACAATAGTATTGATTATTATTTAAATATGTAAAAGTACTTTCTATTAGGTCTGCATATGTTGAAACATATATTTGCTCTTTTGTATCAGATTTGCATTGCTAAACAAATTTAAAAATTGTTATCCTCATCATTGTTATCTTTCAAAAGATTAGGAATATTGATTGATTGTATGTTTAAAAGAAAACTGTTGCAACACAAAGAATTGAATACACTGATTATTCAGATTCATGGTAAAAAGAGAAAGAACTCAACAAGGTTGGTGACAAAGGTAATAAGTTATATAGACGTAATTACTTCACTTTTTTCATGAATTTATTTTGAATAATAAAGGTTCTTAATTAGTCAAAATGTGCAAACACCCAAAATGCATCATCTCAATTCAACAACAACGAAGCAAACTACCAAACATTTGAAGTCACGCAGTAATAGTATGTTGTAGAACGTGAAATATCTGAAAACATAATATTAAGAGCGACAATAAAATTAAAAAAAAAAATTACACATTTTCCGAGCAACGACACTTGCTGTCTTACGGTTTATGATTCAGGAGGATGCATCTAAGTGTCCGTTTCTCTTCACACAAACGATTCAGTTCTGCAATGAACCAGTAGTTCCATGAGTGTCTTACTTGTCAATGCAAATGATAAAATAATATCTAAGTATGCTTAGTTTTTTTAACAGAGCTGACTTTTCATACCTCTTCTTTGGGCTCATCACCTTTGGATTTCTCTTCTAAGATTACAAAAAAAAAAAAAAAATCGAGTGTTATTCATACAAGAACAAAAGTTAGGAGAGACTTAAGAAACTAGTTTGCTAGCTGCTGCAATATTCAAAAGGCTCATTTTATTCCTAGAAAGCTTCCTATCAACATTCTTCGGAGGCAGAATATGGAAAGAGAATTAAGAGTTACCTCCTTCCTCTGGGAGGTCAGAAGTCCACAAGGTGAGATTGTCTCTGAGTAGCTGCATGATAAGAGTGCTGTCCTTGTATGACTCCTCGTTGAGGCTGTCAAGTTCAGCGATTGCATCGTCGAATGCTTGCTTAGCCAATTGGCATGCGCTGTTACATCACATGGTTACATGCTGTTAGAAAGTGACAACACGGATTCCATTCTATATTATTTCCAGAAAAAAGTGAAGAAACCGAACCTTTCAGGAGAGTTTAAGATCTCATAGTAGAAAACGGAAAAGTTCAATGCCAAGCCAAGTCTAACTGGATGTGTTGGTGCCAAACCAGTCTCTGCAGCAGCAACAGCAGCCTACAAAAATAAACACACTGTTCAGTTTTTCTCCAAGCGAGGAAAACACACACACACACACACACACAAAAAAAAAATAAAGACAGAAACATGATGAAAGGACCTTGTATGCTTCAAGAGACTGATCAGCAGCTTCCTTGCGTTCAGCACCAGAACTGAACTCTGCCAGATAGCGATAGTAATCCCCTTTCCTACATAGAAAGAATAGAAAAGTAAAGCCAAAACGGTTAAAACAAACAGAGAAACTGTGTCCATGAATAACCTTGGGGTCAAATGAATATGATAAACTTCAAGGTTTCACACTATCACTACAATTAACATCTCAAGAAACCATCCAACCTAGATAATAAAGAAGCAGAGGAGAGGATGACTCACATTTTGTAGAAAAAGACAGTGGACTCAACAGCGGTAGAGGAAGGAATGAGATGCTTGTCAATAACTGACAAGATGTCATTACAAACTTTGGCAAGCTCCTCTTCTACCCTCTTTCGGTATTTCTGAATCCTCTTGACATTCTCCTCGTTTCCCTTGGACTCTTCCTTCTGCTCGATGGAAGATAGTATCCTCCATGAAGCCCTCCTTGCGCCAATGACATTCTTGTAACCAACAGATACAAGGTTTCTCTCCTCCACGGTGAGCTCCACATCCATCTGTGCAACTTTCTTCATTGCCTCAACCATTTCTACAACAAACAATATTTCTGTTATATTAAGTCCCAAAAATCAGATCTTGACATAGCCAACGACTAGAACTAAATGTAGCCAAGAAAGTTTCATTCTTTTACATCAACGCTTGAAATTTTTTATTAAAAAAAACCTTGAAAATTTTCGGACAATTAATTAAAGAAAATCAGTTTATTGTCGAGACAATTACAGACAGCGAGTGAAAAAAACATAGATCTGTTTTCGTACTAACTACTTTTGTAATAAAGAGATTCAGTCATGTACGAAGATAATTTTCTCAACACAAGGATCAGAGTAAAATGAAACAATAACATCTATAAGAGGGTTCAAATCAGACACATGTAGATCTATATCGGACAAAACATTCATTGGAAAGATCTGAGTTTAAAATAAGTACCATCGTATCGTTCGGTTTGCTCAGAGAGCTTTGCCGAGTAAACCTGCTTTTCCCTCTCAGACTCCATATGCCTATCTTCTTCTTCTCTCTGAAACAAACAATGGATCCTCTACTTTGATTTTCGAGATTAGTGGTAAGTGGTAACCCTAGAAATGCTCTGATGCTACTGCTATTATACGGGCCCCGTTGGATCTACTTTTCTTTTTAGTCAAACACACCCCAGAAAACTCAAGTTTTAGAAATTATAAAAGAGACCTCAAAGCTTTCGATTTTATGCAGAAGGGAGCCCAACTAATGATATTTGTTCAATTAAACCCCGAAGATTGGCTACACGCCCTCTTGTAGGGTTTATTATTTCCTAAATAAAATCTGAAACACTACTAGTTCATTTACTGAATTGTTGTTTGAATTGAAGAAAAATCTGGTTTTCTATCAATTGTTTTGTACATGTACCTTTTCAAATTCGATATCCTGTTGTCAGCTAAAACATGCAAAATCTGTTAACTACAATGAGAAATCAATTAGTTCACAGAAACTCAGGGGTTTTCTTGTAGCTTCTCAGTTAGAGTTGGATAGAGCTGCCAAATTCTCCATGTTATCATCTCTTTGCTTCATATCGTCTTCTTTGTTGTCTCCATTCACAAAATTTTCTGCAGGGATCCCATTATCATCTTCCACCACAAGTCTGGTTTCTACTCGACCTATTGTATCGCCATTTACTGTGCCTTTCGCTTCATCACACACCTCACTGCTCGTTCTCTTAGTCTCAAAACTCTGGCTCGTCACAGGAAAGTCGATTGAATCATTGTTATCTACTACAGGTTCATTAGCCATAACTGGTTGTTCTAGAGTCTTGTTGTCAAATTGAAATGAATTGAGCTGGTTCTTGCTTCGGGACTCAAGAAGAGATTGCAGATATGTGGAGACTTCCTTGCAGGTTGCAAACTCCTGTCCACCAGGACTGTATATACAGTGAAACAAATAACCCAAAACGTAAGAGAATATTCATAATCATCAACTAAAAGTGATCAACACTAAATCAGCAACGAAAAAACAAAAAAGAGACTCGTAATAAGCAATTGTTGAACATAATGTTCAAGAAGACAACAAGCATGACAGTCAAAAGTCTAGTACCAGAAACCGAAACACCATCATATACCCTAAATACACAAAGCTAATCTACTGCTTAGTTGCTATAATCATGAAGATCACCGAGCTAATTTCAGGTCTAAACCATAACTAGAACCAGTGAAAACAACTACATCAAAATAGGCTGAACATATAGTATACCTGATGTATCTGTGACAAGCCAACCATATACTGCTACCTTTCTTTTTGATACAGAGCATAAGTTTCCATCCTCTAGGCAAGTATCCTCCAAAATCACAAGCTTTCACAACTTTCTTCTTCTTCCCAGCATTCACCCACTCACCACTCATCCCTTCCAAGAAACCTAACAACTCTTCATTGGTCACCAACCCCATCGTCATCCTCCTCAGCTCCTCTCCATACGGATCTTCTGCAATACAAGCCAATGCATTCAAATCAACCACTATACCTTCTCTATTCTCCAAATTCACACTCTCTTCCTTATCCACCACTTGCTGATTAAAACCATCTCTAATCTTTGGAGGACGACCTCTCTTCCTCTTCCCTGGATTAGACTCCACAAAGATCCCTAAATCGCTACCGTTCGAAACCTTCCTCGGCCTCCCTGGCCTCTTCCTCGTTTCCTCACCGGCATTTCCCTGAACAGAATCAAAATACGGATTCTGATACACAATGCTGTTACTATAGATCGGAAACGAGATCAGCGGCTGACCTTCGACTTCATCCTCCTCTTTCGTCTGAGCCGAATCGACGGAGAACAGAGATCTGAGAAGCGACGCGACTTCTTCACGGGAGGAATCGTCTCTCTCTCGCTGCGGAGAAGGAGGTCTCGGCGGCGGAGGGTGGCGCGCGAGGCGGACGCGGAGGAACGTCTGTTTCCGACTCCCGGCGGACTCATTGAAGACGGAGCGATCGATTCTCGGCGTCAAATCGTCGCCTACGCCGGCGGAAGCAGCGAGAGAGTACGAAGGAGGTTGGGAGAGAGAGAGAGCGCGGAGTTCTGATTGGGATAAGAGTCGCGTATCGATTAACGGTAAGGATTCGGCGGTTAGACGGTCTCCGGAGGTGCCGTTACGGTTACGGTTGTTGTTTTCTAGGTTTCCGCCGTCCATGGAGGTTAACCACGTCGGATCAACACAGCGTTCGATTTTAATTGCTCGCCTCTTTGCTTTCCGGTTCGCTTTATCCAGTAATTAATTAAACCGGTTGTACCAATGCGTTCGCGACATTGGGAATAGTTATTATGAGCTAGGAAGAGGCCCATATCGTTGGGGTCAATAAATGAGTTTGTTTTTCTCGGCCCCTGTCACTTTGCGTCAAAATGACAAAATTCTTCCTATAATTCAGCATCTACGGCGTCTCTTGACGTTAATAGGCTTTTTTTTTCTTTTTTTTTTTAACGCTATGTATCATTAGTAAACTACATGGGCAAGTTTCAAAATATTACAAAATCAAAACACAAGATCATACCATTAGGTATGTCATAAGAGAGGATAGATAGAAACTATCAAATAAGGTTATCTTACTCAAAGAAACACAGACCCAATACATGAAGACAGTAGTCTTCTCATGGTGTGCGTTCTAAGATGAGATTAGAAGAGAGGCTTCTGCTTCCTCATACATCAATGATTGTATTACATTATCTGTGATGGAAACTTTCCATATGAAATCTGAAATTGGAAGGAATAATAATGAAGTTGATCAAGGGTCTGAATATTAAAGGATAAGGACATTAATAGACTTGTTAGAAAAGTAATTAGACTTCAAATAGTTACCAACCAGCCACATTACTGTGAATAATAATAAAAATCTCTACATATCTTTATGTATTTATACATTTTTGTTAACTACACCATACTTAAATCGTAATTGTTCTGCACATTATCATTCGGAGCTTAAGTATTCATGTCATGGAACGTTCTGGGTGGTATGATTAGACCTAGCACCTAAAAAAGAAAATCAAAGGTGGAGAAAAATTTATAGATTATTTAACTTGTTATAAAAATATTAATGTTTAATTGTGTATAATATTAATACATTATCTGTTTAAAACCGTATAAACACACATAAATATAATGTATAAATTGAATATCGTATAATTTTCATCAAAGTTATGAATATAAATTATATTTATCAAATTTTGATCAAATAAATAGATAAAAATTGTTAAAAAGAAGATAATATTAATATAGATTAGAAGGTAAATTAGATGGTTAGACGGTCATCTAGACATGATAGAAAAACTGAATCGGATATTTAGTTTTTTACATCATTTTGATATGATATCAAAACGGATAAGTAGACTGTCGATTTTTAGAATAGTATTGAGTTTAGGCCTACCATGGATCTATTGCTGATAAAGAAAGACAGTTGGGATCTCAATAATTGCATTGTAATGATGATGCATCAATGATGGTTTCCGACTCTCCTACGTAGAACGTAAATGGTTATTGTGGAAAATCTATAACACTAAATTTGGGCCTACAATGGGCGAAACAAAACATAAAAGTTGGGGTGAGAGAGGCTCGAACTCTCGACCTCAGGATCACTCAGTAGCTATGAGACCTACGCGCTAGCCAACTGCGCCACCACCCCATTGCTGTCAACATACGAATATTATTTTTGATGACCTTATGTTTTTTTTTTGTTGATAAATTGTTCAAACATCAAGGTTTTATATTACGATAATGCAAGTGTTACGTTACGTAGATCGCGGAACTGAAGAGGTCCAATTGCTTGGAGTAAAATTTTCTAGGGCCTAGAGCTGCTTATTATAAAAGTCATATGACAAGAGTCACTTTTACGATCTACCAAAAAAAAGTACACGCCTGCGGCCTGCACATTATTTTTCTATCAATAACATACATTTACATCAATATGTATCAACACATCAACGGTTCTAACATAAACTACTCTGCGTTACGGGTATATAATTTCACTATTATTTTGTGCTAGAGAGAGAGAGAAACAGCTAGATAATGGAGAGAGAGAAGAAGACAGAAGGATCGGTTAACGTGGAGGGATCTGCCAGTTCACGGATTCTCTGTTGTTTCTTCTTTAAACTCCACTCCAGCTATCTCCTCTTTTACTATGCTGGCAAATTGGCCCCACTTTCTTTTTAATCTCTTTCTATTGGCTGACCACACAAATGTTGTCATCAACCAACATTTTCATGAAAAATCCTCTCATAGATCGGCCATTTCTATATAATTAGTTTGATTAAAACCATCCTATATACCAATCCAAACGTTAGGTTGATATGAAAAAATGACATGCTACTTTTTTTGTTGGGTCAACTACAGAGTTATTTGTATAATGTGTTTCTTCTCAATATTTTTAATTAATAATTTTAAAATGCATAAGGGAGTGATATAGATTAAAGATAGTGGGGTTTAATAATAGTTTGCATGTATAGAAAAAGAAGAGCAAAAGCCAAAAGGGGTAAAAAGAGGGATGGTCGTTATTGGGTGAGTGCATGCGTGCGGGGGACTATGTTAAAAGCTGTTTATCTGCTCATTTCATGTGATCTTTCTCAATTCTTTTGCCCTGCACTTTCACTTATATAGGCCAATCTATACCTACATTTACATTTACATATATATATATATATATATAACCTTGTTAATACAATTATTTCCGTATGTATATGTCAAAGATATTTGCTTTAATCCCAAAACAAAACTTTTCAACAACGTTTCATGTACGTACGTGCGTGTATAAGCACCGTTCCAACGCATAATATTGAGATAATTACTTGGTTATTTTATTAATATAGATAGTGAGACATCCACATAGTATTAGGCTTGAGAATCTGTAATTAGGAAAAGGAAAATTGAATAAAATTTTGAAAATTTGTTTAAATTAAGAGATGGAATAATTATCCAAAAGTATAATCAAATATTTTTAGAAAAAATTAAATAAGAAAAAAGATTTTTTTAATAACTTAAAGTAAATACTTATTTGGTAACTAAAGCGACTTTTTCTTATGAAAAAAGTTGTTAGATATTTTAATATTCTAAAGAACACTTATTTAACTAATGTGTTTAACGGAAAATATAAAGCAAATTTTATGAAATTGATATTTATATAAAAGGAAATTCCTTATTTTTAAATCACATGTTTGAATATAGCAAGCCACTATATATTTTGATTTTTAAGATATCATATTTTTATACTAAATTAATTTATGATATTGATATGATTTTATAAAAATATTAATTAAACTAAAATAAAAACAGATATTATTAGTAATGGCAATTACTATAATATTTTATTCATTAAAGAAAATTTTATGAAATGGAGATTTATATAAAAACTAATTTGATATTGTTGAATTACATATTGTAAATAAAAAATTGCTATATATATTTTACTTTTAAGATTTTTCATTTTAATACTTAATTTTTTATGATACTGATATAATTAAAACATATATTAAAAATAAAATAAAAATATAATTAATGACAATTAGTAAGATAATTTAATCATCAAAGATACAATTGTAATTAATTTTTTTAAAAATTAACGTGAGAGTGATATGTAGAAATTGATTTATCAAATAATATTATAAAAATATATTATTTTTTCTTCACAAAAAAATAGAATAATAAACCAATTCAGAGAAAAGAACATTGCTATGCACATCTCAACACAAGGAAGAGAAACAAGGAATAAACCAATACAGCATAGTACATGGTTAACAGCGGTCCTGGGCAGAAGATCATATAGAAGCATAAGCTTTTGGCTTTCTACAAATATATATAATTTTTCGTCTATTTTAAATATTTTTGGTAATTCAGTTGTTAAAGTTTGTGATAATCATCTTAAAAGTATTTGGTGCGAATCCTTTAAGCATCATTATGAACCATTGTTTTTTTCCCAGGTCCTCAAAAAATTTTGTGCTTCTGGTCTATGTTTTTGGACTTTTTCAGGGTCAGATCTGAACATGGTCATGAACGATGATATCGTAGTATAACGGGTTAATCAATTTAAAAATAGTATTGTATACTTGTAGTTATATCTATACATAGAATTGTCTGTATATAAGATAGATAATATAAATGTTCAAAAAAAAAAGATAGATAATATAAATGTATGTTATGTTGATTTTGACTTAAACATGTACTATTCTAACACTATATGGTAACCTCGCGAAAGAATATGCCAAATAATAAGGCAGAATCTTTAAAATATATATAGTTTGAAGACTGCGAAATAGTTTAGAATTTTTTTATTGTTGACTTTAACATTGTGAAGTAAAGATCTTGATTCTACAGATTATGTGACTGGTAAAAATCTGTATCATCTCTTAATTACGGATTACCTACCATAACCATTATCTAATAAATTAAAAAGACATCATAGAAGATATTTTAATGGATTGAGGAAATAAAAGTTGTGGAAGAGGTATAATGTTAAAACCTTGCAAAAAATTTATAGACAGCGAAGACATACTCAGTGCTTGTCTTGTCACTCTTCTTACAAAACCCCAAAGAAAAAAAACTAACCATTAAAATCACCATTCTCTCTCTCTTTCTCCTCGCAAGTGTAGGGTCAGAGACCCAACGGCACCAAAGTCGTTGGCATTTGATGATATAAAGAAGCTAACTTTCACTCATTTACAATCTTTTCTTCTTTTCATTTGTTGGCTGATGTTTTAATTAGACAGACCCCATTTTCATATATTCATTCATTAAACTTTATTTATTCTTTTTTCTTTTTTGGTTATTGGTATATATCATCACAAACCATCATCATCAACAATCAAAATAGTTATATATCGTATATTATAGATGTCTTCTAATACGAGCTACTACCGATCGCCGTTCGGAGACACGACCTACACAAAAGTGTTCGTAGGAGGCTTAGCATGGGAGACTCCGACCGAGGAAATGCGTCGTTACTTCGAGCAGTTCGGTGAGATTCTTGAAGCAGTCATCATTACCGATAAGATCACTGGAAAATCTAAAGGCTATGGTTTCGTAAGTTAATCCATTTTTTTTGCTTTATATCTCTTAACCATTTTAATTGTTACTCAAAGCCGGCGACGTCATTATCTTGGTGGTCTAGGTCACGTTTCAAGAGCCCGAGTCAGCGACGAGAGCAGTCGCCGATCCAAATCCTGTGATCGATGGAAGAAAAGCAAATTGTAATATTGCGTCTTTTGGACAGCCCCGACCATCGACGCCTAGAGGTTCGTGTACTCATATTATATCTTGAATGTGTTAATCATCTTCTCATCGATCCATTCAGTTTTGTTTCCACTTTGATGGATTATTTGATGGGTTTAATGACTTTAATCTATATATAGTTTTCGTAAACTAACAATTACTCGTTCTATTATTAATAATGTAATACTATAATGTTTTTAGAATGCCATTTCATCATTTTTGGCCAAAATTATAATTCATAATCTTTAATCATTGATGATGATAGTAATCAATTTATAAGATTTAATTTTTTCTTTGTAATTGAAATTTCTGTGATATGCTCACAAGGGAAAAATGCTACATGTTCTATACTTTAGAATAATTATGATTACTCTTTGATGCACAGGGAGAGGACGAGGAGGAAGTCCTAGTCAGTATCAAGGAGGAGGACAATCAGGCTATTCCGGAATGGCTGGTCAGCTGCCACAGGCTGCGACTGCCCAGCTCATGTATCCGTCGTACGGGTACGTGAGGTTTTATGATTTTTTTAAAAAATTGATAGGTTTATTTTCTTTATTTAAACCCAAAGGGTGTAAAGAAGTTTATAAATTTTGCATAGACAATGCAATGGTCCAATGATATGTAAAAGGTAAGAGACAGACGATGATTTTAATGCTTCAATTTGGACAAGTTGGGGTCAGCCTGTAAATATGATCATATTCATAATATAAATGCTTATAGTAGACAGCAGACTACCTAGTTGTCTAATAAAAAGCATACTGTATTGTAGATTAGCCAGACCAATATCGCAATAGAACAATAATAGTGAAATTTGTCATGTGTATGTAAAGTATATGAACTAAATTTGTCAAGGTAAAATAGTTAAGTTTTGTTTTTCGTTATACCAATTGGTTTAGCGTCATAAATTTTTGTTTTCAGGTACACCTACAATTCTGAATATGGGTACCACCAAGTCAGTCTCTCTTTCTCTCTCCATATGACACACCTATACTATAATAAACATGCAATAATATAGACACGTATATATTGTTTCCATCTGTTAATGTTTGAATTAAATAGCCTTCATCCCCGAGAACTAAGTATTTAGAAACTAAATTAAAGATTTGTTAATTGTGTATGGAAATCTGTAGACTAATGATATCTATAGAAGTGTAGAGTAAATCATAAAATCATGAATGTGATTGTGTTGTTTATATAAACAAAAAATAATTTTGTGACTGAATTATTACATGCAGGCATTATACAACACACAACTCCAACAAGCACAATACTATCAACAGCAAATGTATGGCGGTGGAGTAACATCACCATCATCATCCAACATCATGCCTTCTCCTTACTATTACTTCCAAGCTCCAAGCCCTAGGCCATATCCTCATCAACATCAGCAGAGTTATGCTCATCATATTCACCATCAGCAGCAGCAACGCCTACCTTCTGCTTCTTCTTACCTAATCTACCCATCCAATTCTGGGGTTCCTACTACTTCCTCTAATGCCCCTCCTTCCCAAGAGCACGCATCTTCTTCAAATGGTACGTCATTGAATAGTTCAATGTTTTGTTTACTCAAATTATCACCATGCATGCCCAATGTGAAAATGCAATATTCATCATCAAACCATGATCCGAATCCACTAAGTATTAGATCGTAATGTAGAAACATAAAAACAAAGTAGCTAGTAAGATCATGAATAAATGAAGATTAAATAGAATACCACAAAAAGAGAGTGAATGATTGGGCACATGGGATATATATATGTGTATAGTTGCATCATGTCCATGTGAACTGAGCTGTCTATTTTTTTTGTTCCTTAACATCTGTCTATATCGTCCATCATGGGTCAATGGGTCATGTTTATATATAGTATGTGTATGTAATATGCATAAACCAGTAGTCTGCATGTGAATTTCTGTCACTCTTTTTATTTCATTGATTCTCAAGATCTAGTCACAACTCACAAGGGAGAAGGGACCACTCTCTATTTAAGCAATTATCCAAACTTATTTTCAGAGGTTGATCAAACAAAATCAATTCTATATGAGGAATTGAAAATTGATTATTTATTTACAATTAACTCAAAAAGGTTTAAAATTGTGGTTATTTGTTTTCATCAGAACTACAAGCACCACATCAAGTCTCGAGAGAAGGAGGAGAATTCGATGCAATGGATGCACCTGAAAGTACAAAGAGCAACAGAGAGTTGACATCATCTTCATAATCAAGGGCATCTCCAACTTGTACAATCTTTTGACAATATTTTTTACGCTCTCTTTTTCTCTTCATCCAACAAAGAGAAAAAAAGCTAATTCGTTTATTTTCTCAACCAATGTATGACTCAACATGACTGCTAAAGATGGCTCTATCTCTTGTCATGTTTTTTTTTTTCTTTTTTCGAACGGAATAATATAATAAAACGACATTTTATGTTAATGTTCCTTGTACTTGACTATCCTTTAATTAGACTTGTATGTCTAAATAGCATATTAAAATCGAACATTTTTGAGAGATTTTGTCAGCCAAGTGACGTTGTATTAGCTTAGCTTTATTTTGTTCTGCTTAAGTAGCTAATTTTTTTCCAACTTTTGTTTTCACATATTAAATTGGCTAAACTCTTGTCATATTGAGCCAAAATTTTAAAAAGAAGATGGGCTGCACCTGACATATTGGGCTGGGCTGGTTCTGAGCCAGAATGATTATTGTATCCTCTACCAAATGCAATCTTCAGATAATTTTATGCAGCAATGAATAATATGATCATGTTCAATTCACTAATTGTAGTCGCCAGTGACTATAGAATTCTCAACCCTAACCAAGAATTCCTCAATGTTTTTATTTTTTTACCTGGCTATAACTATTTATAACACACGATGGCATTGAAAAAATACAATGACTTATTGATGATTATACAACAACACTGGTAAGATAATCTTATGTTTTTGATTACTCATATATCATACTTTTTGGACCTACCCTAGTTTTTTCCCTAAGAGAATATCAACAACCGTCTTAAAATTCACCACCGACGAACCACACGGATGCTCCGTCGCTTTCTCCGCCAAGCACCGCCACTCCTCTGCCTTCTCTCTTAACTTCTTACCCTTCTCTCCATCCATCAGCTCTCTCACCACCGCCTCAACCTCCTCTCTTCTCACATCCTCGCCTATCTCCATCCCCACTCCCCACTCATCGCAACAAAACTTCGAGTTCGTTTGCTGCTCCGCAAAAAAGGGCCAACACAACATCGGAACTCCCGCAGAAATACTCTCTAACGTCGAGTTCCATCCATTATGCGTTAAAAATCCTCCAACCGCAGGATGAGACAAGACTTTCTCCTGAGGACACCAACTCAACAACATCCTTCTACCTTCTGTCTCCGTTAAGAACTCTGTTGGAATCACCGCCTCCTCTCCAGCTACTAAATCCGGTCGTATCACCCATAAAAACTCTTTTCTTGAAGCCGCCAACCCCCAAGCGAACTCCACTAGCTGCTTCCCGGTCATTACCGTTATACTCCCAAAGTTAACGTAAACAACACTGTTTCTAGTCTTTGTATCGAGCCAGTCCAAACACTCGGTCTCCTCTCTCCAAAGATTCGCTCCTAGCGTTCCGGTCTCACTATCTTCTTTAATCTCCCGGTTTACTAGGAGGTGAAGCGGTCCTATTGAATAAACCGGTGGTAAAATGGACTGCATGGCTTGGAGGATGTCATGGTCTAGGTCATCGAACGTGTTGAGAATGATAGCAGAGGCGCGTTTGGATCGTTCTGTCTCGCGGACAATGAAGTTGAGCATTATTATGTCGGATGAGTTAGCGGTACGGACGAAGGTAGGTATGTCTTTTAATTTCAGATTCTTCATCGATGGTATCCAGTCTATAGGTGTGTTTAAGTGTTCTTTCGTCAGACAACTCTCATCTGCAAAATCCATCATACCTTGTTTTAACCTCACAAATGCCACAAACTACGTTTCAAATGCATACTCTTTTAAAGATTGTACATAGTATATTAAATTGTTAAGAAATTAAATGAAAAAATAATTATTAAATAAGGTGCGAGGCTAGGATTTGAACTTTGAACAGGGGGTCAATTGTTCAATCATTAATCATATCTTCTCCTGCTATAATAAACTTAACATGTGATGAAAAGGTTTAAAGAGTCATGGGCTGACCCTGACCCCTCCTCTTTGACTACCTCTGCCAAAGCATAAATGATCATTTAAGTTGATATTGCGTTGTTTCAGAGCTGAAGCACGTGTTACTCTTTCATTTATACATTTATGAAAATATATTATTATTTCATATTGCTACTCTTTGTTATCAAAATTCTATTTTAAGTACCTCCCTTTTGAAAGGCCATTACCATAAATTATTTCGGATACAAAAAGAAGAGTTAATTTTTTTTGAACATTAGCTTAAAAGAAGAGTTAATTACACCGATCATTTATATACGTTGTGTAAAATAATAGTTTAGTTGCTAATTTTTTCAGGTCAAAGTTAATTACTAGTTCTGTCTCATTATTTTGTATGTTTTAGGATTTCAGTTTTAAGAAAGTATTTGCAATACAAATCTAAACTCACTTTATTAATTTATTTAGAGTTATTCTTTTATTTGTTTATGTATTTTTGTTCAACATCTGCTGGTTTTTAATCAGCCTAAAGTCCCTGAACCATCTAATTACAAGAACCGGATCATGTATATTGTCTAAACGTGGTTATGTCAACAATTCAGGGAGTACAAAGTTGTGAGGATATCTAATCTTATGTTTGTAAGAGGACACTAGTTAAGTGGTCTATATAATCAAATCTTGAACCAGACAGTTTTTTTTGGGTTTTGAGTGCGACTTTCCAAGATTTTCATCTAGTCTAACCGTTCAACAGATAATTAAGACTAGTTGAAACAGTAGATTTTGAGATTATTATTACAACATCTATAGATTAATAATCAATACAAGTACACGTACCTTTTAAAGGAGATAAACCTTTCTCGATGAAGAGATAAAAGTGTAAATAAGCCATGAAGCCAGGTGCACTCGGAGTCCAGAAAAGAACCTCCGGGACACCGAGCTCCTCGGCAGCGTCAAGTGTAAAGCCCATCGCACCGTCCGACACAATACAACTGACCGGAGGAACATCATCTCTGGCGTTGATCTGTTGGAGAAGTTCCTTGAAAGGAGTTAGACAGTTCGTCGTGGTGGACTCACAAAGGGCAGCGATGTCCTGCGTTGCATCCACTTCAGGCTCCGGTAGACCGTCTGGTATGGCCTCAAACTGAAAGGAAGGAAGTCTGTCGAGGGCGTTAGGCCCACGAGACCGGAGTAGGCGTTTGTGGTTGTAGATGGTGTTCACGAAGGTGACGTGAAAGCCTTTTGCGTGGAGGAGTTTAGCCACTTTCAGCATTGGGTTGATGTGGCCTTGAGCTGGGTAAGGGATGCAAACTACGTGTGGTTTTTGTGCGTTAGAAACTACATGAGATCCCATTTTCTCTCTCTCTCTCCTAGTGCCAAAGACAAGATTGTGATTAAATTGGGTAAGGAGGCTCCATTTTATAGGCGAGGCCATGTGTTTATGTATCGCACGTGGCTACTGTATCTATATATGTAGAATTTATTTCCCGGTGACCTAATCATTTAGGGACTAGTGCAACTTTTTTACGTTTGCATAATACATAAATAAAGACTGTAAAGTAAATAGATGTCTACATAGAAACATAGCATACCACATAAAAATGTCTGCATTCTACAACATTTAGATTGTATATCTGAATCGTATAAAACTTTATCTGATAAATTAGATAGTTATACATAGAAAAATCATTACTCCATTAACAGTCAAATAAACATGATGATAAATGGTCCAAGATATATAAATTTTAATTTTGTTTGATTATCTTAAAGCAACTTTAATGGTGTTCTCACCATTGGATTCTCAAGATACATATATATATAGAACTCAATGCCTCAATGATGAGAGGTTGCTCTTAGAAAACTGTCTAATTATCATCATACTTACTACTAAGATTTTTTTGCCAAAATGTCCCTTGTAAGACAGAAAATGTGATGATCTCTATCTAACAACACACATCAATATATACATTGAGAACAAAACATTAAAGAGTGAAAATTGTTGAGATAAGTTTGATTCAAGACGTCATCCTCCCGCATTAAGCGGAACATAAATCATAAATGATCTGAAATATGAAATAACGATTATTAGTCTTTTAAACCGAAACTTTAGGTTTTCAATTATGAGTCTTTTAGGTTTTCAATTACGAGTCTACATCGTTGTGACGACAAGGCATGTGCCAGTGCAGAGCATGTACTCCGTATCTATCTTTGCTTCTGCCGAATAATAAATTCTTGTTTCGAGATTTTGTAGATACAAAAGAAGAAAAGCAGACACAACATGAGGACAATATCGGTGACAAATGCCAATGCCGAACGGTAGTTAAGCTCCTCCTGTCATAACCTACTAACCTAGTGTTTATGTATGTGTTTTTTGTTTTTGCTTCTTTGGTATAATGTTTAATTGTTTGTATGTCTAGTTATGACTTCAAAGGTATGAAAATATAATACATATTAACAAGACAAACACCTAAATCATTAAAATTTATTTATATACCAATCTTCTCTATTAAAAGAGAAGTACCAAATTTATCTACTATTTAGAAGTCATGTTGGACTATGTCATTAATTATTTTATTTGACATTTTTGATTGTTACATTAACAAGTCAAATATATATTATTTTCAAAATATCTTAATAATTAATAAAGATATTAATAATAAAAAAATTTGAATATAACAAAATCTGTTGAAAATATCTAACAAGATCTTACCAAAAAAATTTAATATTTTTTATAGAATAAGTATTTCGTTATTATATATAATTATAATTAAAACTAAAATATAAATCATGTATTTAAAACATTTAGTTATAAATTTATAAAATAAAAAATATACCCGCACGGATGTGCGGGTGAAACTCTAGTGTTTGTTTATTTATCAATTTAACTTACCAGTCTAGGATATATTTATTACACAAGATAGAAACAAGAAAAACACTTACATGATAATCATTATAAGTAACACTTATATGATATCCATCTTATGTTTTAAACTTTTAGTTAATCCTCTGATCCCTGTCTCAAAAGAACCTTGCTAACAACCGTCTCAAGGTTTATAACCGAGGAACCATATTTAGATTCTGTCGCTTTCTCGGCCAAGCGGCGCCATTCCCTAGCCTTCTCTCTCATTTTCCTTCCCTTCTCTCCATCCATCAGCTCTTTAACCACCACCTCAATCTCCTCACTCTTTACATTTTCGCTGATCTCCATCCCTACTCCCCACTCATCACAGCAAAATTTACAATTCGTTGGCTGTTCTGCAAAGAATGGCCAACATATCATCGGTACACCACCACATAGACTCTCTAAAATTGAGTTCCACCCGCAATGAGTTAAGAAACCTCCCACTGCTGGGTGGGAAAGAACCTTTTCTTGAGGACACCAACTAGCCATCATACCCCGGTCCCTTGTCTCAACTATAAACTCTGGTGGAACCATTGCTGACTCTCCAGCCACTAAATCTGGTCGGATCACCCATAAAAACTCCTTCCTACTTCTTGCCAAACCCCAAGCAAATTCAGCAAGCTGCTCGGCGCTTGTGACAGTTATGCTCCCAAAGTTAACATAAACGACACTGTCTGGAGTCTTAGTATCAAGCCAGTCCAAACATTCTGTCTCTTCTTTCCATAAATTTGATCCCATCCTTCCTACCTCACTAGTATCCTCAATCTCCCGGTTAGCTAAAAGATGAAGCGGTCCAATTGAATAAACCGGAGAATAAATGGGATGTATAGACCGGATGACATCATGCTCTAGGTCATCAAATGTGTTGAGTATGATAGCAGAAGTACGTTTGGCTCGCTCGACCTCGTGGAGTGTAAACTTAAGCATGATATCATCACGATCAGTGGTACGGACGAAGCTGGGAATATCCTTTAATTTTAGATTTTTCATAGATGGTATCCAATCTATATCGGTGTCCAAGTATTCCTTCGTCAAGAAACTCTCATCTGCCAAATTCATCACCATTTATTAATTAGTATAGAGATACCATATTATGGCATCAACGTATAAGAGCATGCACGTACCTTTTACTGGACATAAACCCTTTTCGATAAAGTGATAAAAATGTAAATAAGCCATGAGGCCACAAGCACTTGTGCTCCAAAATAGAACATGCGGGATGCAAAGCTTCTCCGCAGCATCAAGAGTAAAAGTCATACAATCGTCCGATATAATACAACTCACGGGAGGGACATCATCTCTGGCGTTAATCCGCCAAAGAAGCTCCTCTAACGGAGCTAGACAGTTCTTCATGGTGGACTCGCAAAGAGCCGTGATGTCCTGCGTGGCGTCCACGTCGGTCTCCGGTAGACCGTCAGGGATGGTCTCGAACCGGAAGGAAGGAAGTCCAGCAAGAGCGTTGGGTCCACGGGACCTAAGGAGGCGATTGTGGTTGTAGACAGTGTTGACGAAGGTGACGTGGACGCCTTTGGCGTGGAGGAGTTTAGCCAGTTTCAGCATGGGATTGATGTGGCCTTGTGCTGGGTAAGGCACGCAAGCTACATGTGGTTTTTGTCTGTTATCAACGGCGTGAGATTCCACTTTCTCTTCCTCCTCTGCAAAGAATAGGTGTGATTTTTCTATCGCTTAAGGTTTGACAAACGCCATTTTATAAAAAACTAAAGCGACACAATGTGCTTCATAGACGACACAATGTGTCGGCTAACAACGTGACCTGCTAATATTGTCTACACGTATTTAGCTTCCATTTTGTTTTCGTTGTTTAGCTTCCTCCGTGTTTCATTTTGGGATTGGAGAGACTTGATCAATCTTTTTTTTTTTTTTATAAAAATACTAATTGTCTATAAAAACCTTTGTCTATGTACTTTCATCATAAGAATAAGAATGAAATTCGTGTTTCAAAAAAAAAA